AGCTGCACCCCAGATGTGCACACTGGAATAAGGCTGCATATTATAGTCATTGTTAAAATACTTCTTGTTCATATTATATGCTGGTAGTCATAGGGCTTTGTATAATCCGACCAACTCTGCTCAACGCCTGCAGGCGCGACCAAACATGCTCCTGCGTCGTTGCACCATTTACTCACACATACGGTGCACCTTATTTGACAAAGCTAAACATGGACTCGGCCATCTTAGACGATCACGAAGGCTTCCCGCTTTTATCAAGTTTCCGACTGGCTAAGCACAGCAGAAGTGGTTTGTAGGATCGCTTAGCCCGCATGCATAGGTGATCATGTGAATCCAGCCAGCTGGCTAGAGAACACTCTAGAGCGACTTATCACCCTTCTGCTGATGATTACGCGACAGGCGAATGTCATGGTGGCTGTGCTGGCGAAGGAGCTCGCTTCTTGTGGCCTGTACCCACCTATACCACACCCTGAAGGTATACATTGTCACATTCCCTGTCGAATGTACCGTGGAATAACGTGTATATCCCTAGGGTTGGTTTGGGCAAGGGTATAGCTCACGACAAACGTGCCTCTTCCCATGTTCATTGCATACCCATTCAGTCCTCAAAGTCGAGCAGTCGCGAGAATTCAGTCTCACCAACGCGTCGGAACTCGGCACCTGCTGCAAACTGCCCGCTCGCCTCCCATGCTTGCATGGTCGCTTGGTCATAGGGGCCGTTGATCTCACCTTCTGGTGCATTGAGCCAGTGAAACTCCCATTGCACTGATTGCGGATTCGGGTTCTTCCAATCTTCTCCCGTCTCGCGCTTGTACTGTCGCATGATTGATTCGCGAGGCAGCTCGTAGATGTCCTCGACGCCGCGATCGGACAGCCGACTTGCACATTCGGTTATAGAATCGATGACCTCTTTTGCCTTGATGGCTGCAGAGTCTTGCGACGGCTCCGAATCGACGTCCATAGCCTGGCCCTTCTTCTTCTTAGTCCAGCTTTTGGCCGGCTTCTTCGGTGCTGCCTTGCCATATCGCACGAGAGCTTCCATAGGCGTTTCGCCAACGTCCAGATGTGCGATGAGAGCCGACAAGACGTCGCTGGTGACGATGGAGTCTTCAGCTCGTTCCCGTGCCTTTCGCTCCGCATCCAACTTTTCCTGCGCTTCCTTTGCCTTCTTGATGTCCTTCTTCGATATGCCGTCCAACCACGAGTCTTGAGCGGCTTCCGGGTCGAAGGCCTTGCGCACGAAATTTCCGGCTTCGTCAAATCGGCCCTCTTCTTGCTCGGCGCTCATGTTGAAAGCATCTAGCTTGGGCGCATGCTTCTTCTTGCTGCCTGCACCGAGCTCCTCGTCCATGTCGGGATCGATCTGGTCGCGTAGCTCGTCATCGCCTTCATCGCTGCTGCTCTCTACGTCTTCGGTCCTGCTCCTCGGACCTTTGGTGAAGTCGACAGCGACATGACCTCCCGCCTTACTGTCCGCTTCCTGGCCCTCGATCTCGTGGTTGTCTAGGAATCGCAGCTTCTTCTTTTTTGTCTGGTCTCTCCGTGATTCCTCGTCCATCTCGTCATCCTTGTCCTCCTCTGCGAACATGTCATCATCATCGTCATTTTCGGTCTTTGTTGGCTCGTCTTTGTTGGCTCGGGCTTCTGCGCGCGCATCGAAGTTCTCCGTAGAGCTGTCCGAGTCGTAGCCGTCGATGTTGACCGCGTTTCGCTTGATACCCGCGCTTTTCCCTATAACATCAGCTTCAAGGGCGGGGTCTTCATCATCGACTGCATCCGGAGCGAGCGTAGAGGGGTTGCGCGGGTCGAAGCGGGGTTTCTTGGTCGATGGTTCGTCGCCGTCCATGTGGTGGGTTCGCGTGAACTGCTCGCCAGCGCGCTTGGGCCGCGCGGGGTTGTGAGTCCCACTGGAGCTGGCCATGGTGATAATGAACGTGATTCGAGGTTGAGGTATGCAGAAAAGTGAAACTAGGCAACCAGGCAGTGACGTCTTCACGAAACGCGATTATTTGAAGCTCGGGCCAGATCGCGCTGATCCGAGTTTAGCGGCACTGGCATCAACCGCCTGCTGTACCTGCGACCATGGTTCGTCATCTCCAAGGCCTCTCATCGAATACATATCACTTCTACCACCCGCTTGCCGTTTCTTCCTGACGCCAAACCTGACTGACGCGATTCACACCCCTCTGTTTCTCGCCGCTCCTTTGATACGCCAAAATGGTAAGAGCGACCCCACCACCTTCTCTATCTCAACTCACCACGTACAGTTCAACCCAAACTTTTACGACCAAGACGATCCCATGGCCATGTATCAGTCCTTAGCCGCTCGCCGCGGCGGCGCTCCTAGGCGTTTTGACGAGTACTTCCGATGCTATCCCATCGTTATGTTGCCTGGCCCGGAGCGCCACGAGGCAAACCACGGCGGCAAAGTGTTCCTCCCTCCTAGCGCTCTCGACAAGCTCACCAGACTGCACATCTCATATCCTATGATCTTCGAGCTCATAAACGGCAAGGCAGATGGAAAGAAATCACATGCAGGTGTATTGGAGTTCATAGCGGAAGAGGGCAAGATCTACCTGCCATACTGGCTCATGGAGACGCTCCAGCTGGAACCTGGCGACCTGCTACAAGTAAAATCGACAGATATACCGCTCGGCTCCTTCATCAAGCTACAACCCCAAGACTCTTCCTTCCTCGAAATCTCCGATCCCAAAGCCGTTCTCGAGAATGCATTCCGGAACTTCTCTTGCCTCACTGTAGGCGACATATTCACCTTCTCGTACAACGACAACGTATACAGTATAGCCGTATTGGAAGCCAAGCCAGAGCACTCAAGCAAGGCCGTCTGCACCATCGAGACCGATCTATCAGTCGACTTCGCTCCACCAGTAGGCTACCAAGAGCCGCAGAGAACGAGTGGCACAAGCACACCGCGCAGCGTCATGGCCGGCAAGGGCGGCACACTTCACGCCCACGGCACCATGGCAGAGGCGATCAACTACGCCGCCATTGCCCCATCGTCCACAACTGCCGCAAATGGGGCCAAAGCCACATCCTCGAATTTCCTCACCACCGGCCACAAGCTGCTCAAGAAAGGCAGCAAGGCGCCTACACCCCAAGCCTCCACACCCGTCGCAGGACAATCATCGAACCCGCCTCCTACGGTACGGCGTACCAATGGCCCGCAGCCGCTCAGGCTACCGCCCAACAAACTGTTCTTTGGGTACGAGATCAAGCCGCTCAAGGGCAAGGAGGAGGAAGGCGAGCAGAAGGAATCGAAACACTTTGAGGGTGCCGGGCAGTCGCTGCGCAAGAAGAAGGGTGATAAATGAGGCAGATACCCATAGTGACGATGGGCGTTTCGGAAGCTCCAGAGAGTAGCATTGTATGGCGCAGATAAAGGATACTGAGATCGTATGGCGTAGGGCGTTTGATACCTATGATGAGAGCTATGAACGGAACTAATACAGCTCATTTTGTACCTGTTCTCTGCTCTGTTTTGCTACCGTGATGCAAATGCTAATGTCAGTTCGGACAGACACTCCCAACACGCAAAGAAAGTTATATCAATCGCCCATGATTTTATTATTTGTATTTTATCGCAACGAAGGTATTGCTCGCTGCACTTTTTGTGCAATCAGCCCTGCACCAAGTTCTTTGGAACAGGGCTGAGAGACGAATACTTCTAGGAGAAGACGTCACTTCTCCATTCCGAATGTTCCACTGCAATCCGGAAATGTAAACATGTCCCGCACCGAACGAAAGACAGATCAGTCAATCGAAGGAGAGAGGGAAAAAGAAGGGAGGGTCTAAACCATCTCTTCAACCGGCTCCTCCTTGACACGCTTAGCCATGGGGATGTAGTCTTCCTCAACCTCAACATCTTCCTCGCCATCCTCCTCAACGCTCTCCTTGTCCACGCTCTTCTCCTTGACCTCAGCTTTCGGTTTCCTACCTCTCGGCTTCTTGCTCGGTGTCTTTACCTCCTCCCCGCCACCCTCTCCAGATCCGTCGTCGAAACCACCGTCTGCCTTCCTCTTAGGCGTGCCTGTTTTGGGAGTGCTGTTCTTAGAAGCCTTCTTCGCACTGTGTCCCGCGCCGCCTTCGGGGAGTTCCCAGGAGAGCTCGAGGTACAGGTCGCGTTGTTTGACGCGGAGGGCGGAGATGCGGTTGCGGATGCTGCCAGTTGAGGTTCCTGGGAAGGAAGAATTAGCTTGAGAGCTTAAGGATTGGGGCTTGGCGGAAGGGTTTACAGAATGAATGGGCTGGGGAGTCAGAGGGAAGGTTGGAAAAGAGTGGTTAGAGGTAGGACGCGGTTGGGGGAGGGGCTCACCAGGGAATGCAGAAGATAACTGGGGATACTCGTCTGGCTTGACCCAGCGGCCTTGCGTCAGAAGGAGGAGCTACAAGAACTCGTCAGTTATCATGTTGTGGTTGGTTGGACGTATCGCTCGAAATGAGGCGTTACCTTCGCGTCGTTGGGACCTTCCCATTTGAAGGGCTAGGGTGATTATTAGTTCATGGTCGAGAAAGGTTGGAGAAGATAAACGTACACCGCCAGTATCTCCAACATCGCCGTTGGCGACAGATTTCTTGGGCGGCATGGTGATTGTTGGGTCTTACAGCTGTGGAATGTTGAGAAACGTTGGTGTGTTTGGCTCAAATGATATTCGAGTAAGAGAGAAAAAGAGTAGTGGAAAGAGTGTCTTGAGAGACTGACAAAGTGAAGGGTTATATATCTCTCATGAAGAACGCGGAAGGCAGCAGGTGCAAAGAGCCTGGATAGAGGAGAGGTGAGAGTGATATCTTGATTTGGGTCGGTTGGGCACGGTCACCTTCACCTTGCAGTTTACGAGACAGGAGGGAAACACGGTATGATGACATTGAGAATTGACATTCCAGCGTAGTCAAACTTTGCAGATGACGCAAGCGTTCGATACTCCCAATTTGCCATATATTCGGTGCATTCCCATCTCAGATGTTGTCATAATGGAAGTTCATCAGCAGCCACAGAACGCCTCCAAAGGTACACCATCAACCATGTCCTCGACTTTGATCTCCTTCTTGACAGTCTCTTTCTTAGGCTTGCGAGCGCGCGGCTTCTTGGTGGGGGATTCGGCCTCAGCATCACCACCCTCATCGCTCTTCTCAGCGGCAGCAGTACGCTTCTTTGGGGACTTGGTAGGTGTCTTAGTAGGAGTCTCAGTGGCACCATCGGGTAGTGTCCAGCCGAGCTCCTCCATACATGCACGCTGCTCCTTGCGCATCTTGACGAAACGTTGGCGAATCGCGTTCCAGTTGGTGCCGGCTGAGCTTGGATTAGTATAAATGAGTTCTTAATCAAGGGGATAAAACTTACGAGGCAAGGCATCAACGAGCTTGTGATAGTCGTCCGTGGTGATGGTGCGTCCCATGGTCAGCAACAAGAGCTTTGGATTTGATTAGACAAGTGTGCAACCGCGGGACGAGTGACTGGCTTACTTTGCGCTCATGATCTGCGGTCCAGCTGAACTTCTGTATGCATATTAGGCTTGGTAGAAGTGATGGTGGTATTGGGTCGTACTCACGCCATCACCGCCAGCCTCAGCACCTTAATCTGCGATCTTCTTCTTAGGAGGCATCGCAGTTGTCGTAGACGGATTGACTTGGAAGCGTATCTGAGAAGATGTCTGTTAGAACTTGTGAGCCGATTGTTGACCTTGAGAACTGGGGCTGAAGAGGTGAGTTTGGTATCAGAAGAGTTCAGGAAAGCGGCAGCAAGATAAGGCTCTGGGACACGAGGATAGGTGAGAGTGAGTTGCCGGGCAACGCGACCATGCCGACAGGCGAGGAACAAATGCGCCTTCACCGTACGTTCAGTGGGAGAACGCTACCGCGAAAACATCCTGGTACTTGGAACACTGTCACAAGAGCATAGTAGCTGAACATACACAAAGGGATGCACGAAGTTCATCAAGTGATGCAGCCGCACTTCCAGTGTACCCGTTCAAACACGTGCGTCACTACTACGGTCAAAAAGAAACCTCCTCATCTCGCCCATTCAACCCTCCTACCACAGTAAAATCTAGGAAACCTTGAAAACACTGACGCTGCAGTTTGGTCGAAGTATCATGGCGTATCTCACATATCTCGGCGGTCTTTTTCCAGCCCTGACCGATAAATTCAGCCAACGAAGCGATGCATACTCACGTATGACGAATGCCAGACAAGATCTCGAAACTACCTTCGGAAAAGGAGCTAAGTCATCTAGACAATTTGAACCGAGCCTGCGTACGACGCCATTGCCAATCGCGTCTCAAGACAGTCATAGTAATCGTGGAAGTGCCTATGAGAACGCCAGTGTCGATGCGCCTGACGGCAAGGATAGAGTGTCCAAAACTACCAAACTACCTATCGATGAAATCGCAGACAAGTAAGGAGAAAGCATGCGATTACGATGAACGCAATGAAGATTACGATCTTGTAAATCTTTAGAGAAACGAGAGCATAGTATCCATAACAACACACTGAAGGGTGTTAGGGACGAGTGGATATGGAAATACGATATGAGAAGCTTAAACAGCAATCGAGACAATACACAAGTCGTGGCAACCGTGGCGTCTGTACCGCCAGGATAGTATTAAGATATATACATTAAGATGCCCCCCACACACACAACACTCATCAGCAACCCATCTACGCCGCACATTGTCCCGGCCCACCAAAGCCATTAGGAAGCGACCCAGCAGCCCCAACGAAGATCGCGCCATTACCCTTTCCATTCGGACATAGGTCGCTTGGTGTTCCTAGCCCTGATTTTGGGACAGAGTACATGCACATGCTTCCGTATGCCCACCACTGAGTGCAGCCCTGTGGATCGCTGAAGCAAGCCAGACAGCACTCGGTGGCGGTTTTGCTGCTTGGACCATCCTTCAACGTACCGGGCTGAACGGCTTGGATGCCGTATACGTCGGCTGTTTGCTGTGGGCAGAGTGTCTGCGTGCTGGTGCTGGTGATGGTTGTAGCAACGGTAGTTGTGGCTGTAGAAGTTTCCTGTTCAAGGTTAGTCAATCATACCTCATGAAAAACGTGAGGGTGTACGTACAGTGACAATAGGTGTTACAGTAGTATAGTCCGTGATAGTGAGCGTCGTAGAGATGACTGCCGTCACGGTCTTCGCTGTGGGGGTAACGCTGACGATGGTGGTAGCTGTCGCGCGGGCGGCGGTCGCAGTTCGAGTTTGCGTCTTTGTTACAGTCGTTGTCTTACATATGGACACAGTCTTTGCTGGAGGTGCAGGCCAGACCTTGGTGCATGCTGGACAGATCAGATTGTTCGCTACACCCTTCAGCCATGATGGCGGGCTGACGTGACGGGCCTTAAGAGTTGGAGCACTGGGGAAGTTTAAGGTAGTTGACTGGGTAAGAATCGTGGTTGCTGCTGAAGTGATGGTGATCTAGAGAGAATTGTTAGGCTTGGAACCTCAGCGGATGAAGTGCTGGAAGCTTACTGTTTGAACATCTGAGACGGTGGTAGGTGCATCGGTAACAGTTGTCGTTGCTGTCTCCGAGATCGTGGTCGTCTGCAGTACCGTGGAATCTGCTGGCACTTCGCCGGTCGCCGTCAGAGTTATAGTGGCTGGTGCGGGAACGACCGAGCTTGTGACGGTCACAAGCTTTGTGAAAGTCTTCAAGTTGGTCTGCGTCACCGGCTTCTGTGGCTGATATGCCGGGCAGAAGCCTTTACAAAAGCCATACCCATTGTGGTTTCTCAGGAGCTTCGCAACCACATCTTGGTTCACTTGGTCTGACGCAATAGTCAGCGACGGATTTCGACAGGATTGAAGCTTGACTTACAGGTACGCTTCTCAATAGCACTTTCTCCGTGCTCGTCAACGTGCTCGACAATCACCTTGTTTGTCTCCGGGTCCTTGTAGGCAATCTCGAATGGACCGGTGCCCTTCAGTTCCGGGAAGACCTCAAGTGCGTGCGCTTCCTCAGCGACAACATTCTTGGTGATGAAGACCGCAAGGGCGAATAGTACGCTAGTGGGCTTGAAGTGAACCATGGCTGCCGCTAATCAAGAAGAAAGCTGGAGTGAGCAGCATTGTTCAACAGCAGAGAACTGACAGGTTAAGTATCCGGTAACCCCCTGAAAGTTCTTTGACCATCACGAACATTTTCGCTATGCATACCATCCCTAAACAGCAAGCCCGAAAGCGCACATGCATTGCCAGCCTTGCAGAACTGCAGTTTGAATCAGCCAGCGTCGTCAACCGACGCCGTGGCTTGAGAATACTAGCTGAAGAGAGCCGAAAACAAAACTTTTGGACTTGCGTCTGGATGCCAGTTCACCAGGCACGGTGCATGTGGGTAGGGGTTACTAGTCCAATGTCTTCTGGTAGATCGTGGGGAAGTATGTCAGCCTCGCGTAAGCTAGCCTTTTTCGGGGCTACCTAGCCAACGTGGCTTGCATCTGGACGCATTGCTTAACTGTATCTTGATGATGGCTTCGAATCGCCTAACGATATTTTGACGACAATTTCCACTTCGAGTACACCCTTGTTGTAGTTCATGACCCTATGCTCACGCGGCAGAGACTTATCAAGACGATTTACAGGGGAGAAACTGCCTGGCCAATGAGCGCATCGTGTCATTCCGCTCTTGCAGCCTTGTTGTTGGCCCAGCCTTGCGGCGACGCCGAGAACAAATTATACGTCAAAACTCCACAACATATCTATTCCTCTATTCAAAAAGCTCGACAAAAATCTTATACACATTACATGCTAAACGCCTCTCTACACAGTTTTTTCTTCTCTCCCTCAACTCGCCGCATAACATCACGACGACTTACATCCTCATATTCTCCTGTATAACCTTATACTCCTTCCTCTTCTTCTGCATCCCCTGGCCCCCAAACTTGACTTTGGCAACCCCAATCCATTTGCTCAACCCAGGGAACAACATGTTCTCACCCAGATACGCCATGGCAAAGTTGCCCAGTCCCAACGCCATGATAAAAACCTTGAACGGCGTGTCAAGGAAGGTAAGTTCCATAGCACTCATAACCCACGCCGCAGGATCAAACAGCATGTACAGCGTAATAGCCAAGGTAACAAAAATAGTCGTGACAAACGGCAAGTTGCGCGACATGGGTTCGCGATACGGTTTACCCACGCTGAGAACGACAGCGGAGAAAATGTATTGGAAACAAGAAGTCAGGAACAGCGCCGTATTTTGCGAGTTGAGCGAGTTGCTGTGGTTCTTGTCAATGACGGGCGGCATGTACCATTCCTGCTTCTGCACAAAGTGGAAAGCGAGGTACTGGACCAGTATGCACAACACCATTTGACCAAGCAGCGGCGTAAGCACCTTTCTGCTCACGAGATTTGCGGTAGGGCGTTTCCGGGATAAGACGGGGTAGGCGCCGGACCAGCCCATAAAGATGGCAATGGGCAGGATGAGAAGCAGGTCGATGAAGAGGAATTGGAAGTCGCCGAGGTTGGATGCACTCGCATACAAGAAACTGACCGAGCAAAACTGTATGGCGGAGTAGAGAGACATGTACTTGAAGCAGCTGAAACTGGTAACAAGCGCTGCACGTCCTTCCTTGATAACTTGAGGCACACAGCTGATGTCGAACTGTCGGGAGGTAAAAGGCGCGGCGACCGAGGCTTCGGCTTCCGACAACGAGATACCTACGTCTGCTGCTTTGAGCGCACCACAGTCGTTTGCACCGTCACCGCAGAAACCAACGCAGTAGTCTATGCTCTGTAGTTTCTCAACCAGTTCGTGTTTTTCATCGGGGCTCATGCGGGCAAAGACTTGGCCGCAGACAAGCATCTCCCTAAGCGTAGATTCCGAGGCGAAATCTACGATCCAGCGGAAGACGTCGCCGGAGACGGCCAGGCTGTAGTTGCGGAGGTTGGAGATGTCGTAGGGAAGAGATACGTCGGCCTCTGGTGGCGGTGGTAAGGGCTTCAGTGTGTTGTCGTCGAGCTTAAAGACAGGGTCGTCTACGCTTTCCCAGCTCAGCTTCGATAGTGCTGTTCGAGAGTCACCTTCTTCGAAGTGCGGGACGAAGCAGTGCGCTGTTTTGTTGATGAGGCCGCACTCGCGGGCTACGCTGATGGCGGTCAGGATGTTGTCACCAGTGCACATGACCTTGCGGATGTTTGCGCGTTCGAGCTCTTCGATGACGGGGGCGGTGCTGTCTTTGAGCTTGTTCTCGAAGATGATGAAACCGACAAAGTCCAAGTTGCTCTCTGCTTCTTCACGCTTCATCTTCTGTGTCTTGAGCCAGTTGAGCTTGGGGATCGTCTTTGTTGCGCAGGCAATAACACGGAATCCACGGTGGGTGTAGAAGGCTAGAAGCTCCTCGTAATCGGTGGGAAAGCGTCCAGGTCGGCAGATCTCCTTCATGACTTCGGGCGCGCCCTTGACGTACACCTGTCCGCTCTTTGAACCAAACTGTCGGACGATAACACTAGCTCTTCGTAGCTGGGAGACGAACTCGAATGCCTTCAGTACACCAAGCTCGACCTGCTTCCTGTTGGCCTCGTCTTCAACATCGTCGACGTCGTACTCTCGGCCTGGTGGTGGTCGAGCGACAGACGGGGATAGCTTCTGCTCATCGTCATCACCACCGTTGCCAGCCTTCTGTTCTCCCTCCTCGTAGCTCCAGCCGGTAAAGTCGAACATTTTGACGTCGAGTGGGTCGCCCACTAGCTCATCATCGATCTTACGAAGTGAGTGACAGGTGGCCATGGTGTATAGGATAGTCTTGTGTGCCAGGTATTCTACGGTTGGGTCGCGGTCGTGCTGGGATGCGGGAAGGATGTCATAGGCGTCTGGAAGGAGCTCGCTGAACCTGTTCCTGGGTCGCTCGACTACGCGAACTCCCAAGACATCGAGACCCTCCTCGGTGAGCGTTCCAGTCTTGTCGAAGCAAACTACATCCAGCTTACCACCCACGTTGACTCGCTGCGGGCTGATACAGAAGATCTGCTTCTGCTTTAAGCGTGACAGGGCGAAGCTAGTACCAATGGTGAGCGTGGCCGGCAGCGCAGGAGGAACGACAATGGTGATGAGATCGAGAGCTCGTACAACGATCAAGTGCCATGCGAGACCCAGATGTACAAAGTTGATGAAAGATGCGACGAAGCCAATCATGGCAATAAACGCCATGACAGAGATGTACCGGAAAGAGTCGCGGTAGAACTTGAAACCTGAGGGCTTGGGGAAGAGCATAGATCGGACCAACGCGCCCTTGGTGGTGTTGAAACCAGTGCGCACAACCATGGCCAATGCAGCAGCCTCATCATCAACGTGATCTTCATGTGGTCTGCGAGCCCTGATGATCTTGGTTCCACTGAACAGCATGTGTCGCGCAACCTCTGGGTGAACAGCCGATGCACTGAGGTCAAGCAAATCCAGGGCGTGGTTTGACATGGGAATCTTGGAAACAGGAATCGACTCGCCAGTCAGCATACTCTCATTAACGATACAGTCTCCAGAGAGCAACAGACTGTCGCAGGGGAACAAGGCAAGCGAAGGGTCGGTGACTTCGTAGACATCTCCGGGTACAAGCTCCGCAGAGTCGACGTGAGTCCAGAAGCCGCTGCGTAGTACACGGACTTCGCACTCGAACTTTGAAACTTCACGTAGCCGCTTCATGGAAGCCTTTGTCTCGACGAGCGTGGTGACAATACTGACTGCCGAGATGATGAAGATAGCACAAGCATAGTAGTAGTACTCGTCCATGGACCAGAGGATCAGACTGGCAATCTGGAAGACGTAGAATGGATGGAAGACCTCATCGACCAAAAGCTGACCGATGGTCTTCTCGGCGATGTCGATCAGGTTCTTTCCAAAGACAAGTTCGCGGTAGTCGCGTTCGTCGTTGTCAAGACCCTCGCGCAGAGCCGAGACTTCGGTCCAGGTGGGATCCTTCCAGGTGTTTGCGAGCACGAACTTGTCTTTGATGGGGTGGTATACGAAGCGGATATAGCGGTAGTCCAAGCATCTCAGCTCGCCAATGAGCGGGTCATCCTCTTCATCCCATTCCCTCGGGCGTCCCTTTTCAGGGTCGCCGAATACAGTTGATAGCGAGCGTCCGTAGATCTGCTTGCTGACGCTCTGTACCGCGAATTCTCCCCACTGGTTTTCGGTGACGATCCAGTCGCACTCCTTAAGCGGTGTGGTCTTTCCGATTATGGCGACCCTCCATCGTGGCAGCCATCTGAACAGAAGCCAGCCTAGGCCCAGAGTCGCCATGCAAAGGAGCGCATACAGCGCATAGCCGAAGGGAGACGTCTTGAAGCCGGCGATGACGATGGTAAGATCCTCGGTCATGATGTAGATCTTCTGGTTGGACCTGCGCCCTCTCCAGTCGATACCTGAGCCTGTGCTGCCCGCTGAGGATTTCCTTCGCAGCAACGGCCTCTCAGAGGACTTCCTGCTGCTACTTGATTTCCGGCGCGAAGGCGTCGGTGATTGCGATGAGTGGGACGATGTGCCCGCCTCGAGGTCTTCCAATTCCGACACGGTATAACCATTGTCGTACGTGCTCTCTCCGTCCTCCAAGATTGCGCTATCCTCGTCCTCACCCTCTGAATCCTGCTCTTCATCGTAGAAAGCGAAACTCGTCAGACTGGCGCTCGAGTCGGCGCGCGACCGTCGGTGGCGGAAGCCGGATACGCTCGTGGGGACGCTTTCGCTCATGGGACCGGAGAAGACCTGGATTTTTGGCGTCAGCTGCTGGCCAGGCTTCCTTCCACGAGGGTTGTAGGCAGGGCGGGAAGGAGGAGGGAGAGGCATGGGCCCGAGTTCGTATACCTCATCTTGGGCCATCTCGACATCTTCCATGAAGCTTGCCCTGGTGTCGCCATTAGTCGCGCCTTGGAGCTGAGCTGGCCGTGTCACACGTACTCGCTCAGGTGGGAGCCACGGCGGTACATGGCGCTCATTCGGCGCGGTCGCCGCCTCTCGGGGCTTTCGTTGTCTGCCATGGCGACTTTTGTGGATTTTGGTCGTTGGCTATCGGGCCATGGTATCGAGTTGGGAAAC